CCCTGCAGGTGTGAGGTGGGGGACAGAGGTCAGCAGAGTAACCTCTGAGCCCCAGTTTCATTCTTTTAGCCTTTGATAGGGGTGATGTAGCCCCTACCTCAGGTGAGGCAGAGTGAACTGTGTCGAATCCCCCTTGTAGATGCTTAGGGTGTGGGTTCCAATATTATTGTCACTGTCCTCAGAGCAGATCTTCCGAGGGGACAGGGGTGCAGCTGAGGGGGTGGGGGTGGCGAGGTGGTTCCCCAGATAGCCAGCTGGGAGCCCCACCCGGCCCTGAGAGCCCCACCCAGCACCATCTGGCAGATGGTGGCAGACTGATCTCAGTTGGCCAGGTGGCAGGACCGATAAGGCAGCCCCGCTGCCCCCCGCCCCTCAGGGTGGGAGGCTCAGGTGCTGCAGTTTCCTAAACTCCATTGACGATGAAAAAGGCAGGCTCTTTGGAGCTGTCCCAGCTGGTTTGAACTTTGACCTGTGGACTTAGGGGTCTGGGTGAATGCAGAGAGGAGTCTGAGGCCCACCCCTGAGGGGAGAAGGTTTGGCACCTCTCCACTGCCTCCGCCCCTCACTTCTAGTCCAGAGATTCTCCTGGGAAGTGTGGGAGGGACTGAGAACGCTTTGGATTCTACCTAAATCAAAACAGATGTGGCTGGGGATGCCGGGAATATGGTAACACAGGATGACCACCCAGGCCACCACTACAGGAAAAGAGAGGCTCTGAGCGTAGGCAGAATTCTCCACCTCTGCAGTAACTAAACACCCAGGACCGGGAACAAGATCCCACTCCTTCTGTCGTTTGTAGCTTACCTTCCTGGCTATTATTTGTCTCGACCTTGTCCGTGTGCGTTGGTGAAGGTTTATCTGTCAATGTTCCGTGTTCCCATCCAGCAGAACTTCATACACATTGGCTGGCAGCCCCTCACTGTTCCCACCTCCTCCCCGTGTCTCCTCCACTCCTCCTTTCCTGGCCCTTCTGAACTTGGTCCTTGGGGAAAGGCTGCCCTTCTGATCCTAAGAGGTTGAGTATTCTACCTCCAATACCTCCTGTTCCTCTTACAGACCTGTCTATGGCTTGGCTAAGGACCGAGTCATAAGGAGTAAGAATGCTCGCCCTTGGTCAGATGGCTACAATCCAATGTGTTTCACTTGCTTGGGCAAGATCAGGAATGGTCATAGCAGGCTGTTTCTTCTGGTCACTTCCTGGGGTCCCTGGGGGTCAGTAAGGTGATTTTTTTACTTACTGTTTTTGAATTTCATTTTAAGAGCAGTGTACAAGTGAATCCACGGAGAGAGCAACTAGATGAATAATTCACTCGGGTTGTGGCAGGGCAGGTAGGGGCTATTGGGGAGCCAATAGTCCTGGGTCCCAGAAGGAAGAGAATGCTCTAACACTGATGGTGGGACAATTACACAGCTCTCCTTAATATAGTTTACCATTGA